ACTTACAATGACAAGTATTAAAAAAATAGCCACAACGCGTACGCCAGACCTCAACCGAAATGAAATCCTAGATACGCCCCTGCGAAGCAGTCATAAATCCAATGCAGCTCCAGCACGATATCTGGCAACACTGGGGGACGGTACTGGAGCCCGCACTCTTAAGCTTGTATAAGCGACAGTTAATGTCCTTTTTAATAGCGATTGGCGCATTGCAACAACAAAAACGACACTTTTGCGTTCTACAAGTCAATACCTTTCTTTAAGTAGGAATACTTTCTCCGAAAACACCCCAGAAGGGGTGTATCCAAGGGGGGGGGGGGGGGAACCTTAACGAAATTCACACCTTCAAAACGCGAGAATCGGCGTTCTTCACAACCTCGGGGAAATGAAGCTTCAAATTTGCTGGAGCGATTCTGTTGAGAGGGGAAGGAGCATGACCAATTTCATTCCTCTAGAATCTATCAATAGATGCTCTCAGAGAGGAATATGAGGTGGTTGACTTTTGTGATGGGAAAGGGATGAAGGAAGGGAATAGGCGCTATCGCTCCTATAGATTAACAAATGTTATCGCGAACGGTGCGAAGCATGCTGGACGGAATCTGGAACTGGAAAATCACGGCCCCAATACTGATATCCAGGGCCGTTTCTAGAGGCGGGCGAAGCGGGCGATCGCCCGGTGCGCAGGCGGGGTAAAGGGGGAGGGGGGCGGGGGGGGCGGCAGCGGGGTAAAGAGGGAGAGGGGGGGAGGCGCCATTGGAACTGCTTGCCCTGGGCGCCAACATCCCCAGAAACGGTCCTGCTGATATCTTCCTATACTGATGATATTGCGGTCAGAGCTAGCGCTGATGGTAGAGGTGGCTACCTCTTGGGCACAACTTCAAATAATTACCTAACTAGAAAGCCGGCGCCTCGTGTCGGCCGTCCCGATCTCGGGGAAGCTGCTCAATCGGCGATGCCATCTACTTGGGCAGATGGCATCGTTAGCCTGCACTACTTTCCACAATCTACTCGCTTGGCCGCCGAGTTAAGTCGCGCTACTCAGCTGAAAAAAAGTAGTTTGTAGTTTAGCTTAACTAATGCTGTGCAACTTAGGTTGTTGCCGGTTGAGTAGGACTATGGGATACATATGGACTATGGGACACACATACCTTCTCACTCTCTCCACATCGGGATCATTCAACGTCACTTTGCCTCCAAATTTCACATCCTCGGGGTTCGCGAACGCCTGTTGGGATAAACACGCGCAAGCCTTCGTAACACGTACTACAGAGAACAGATCGGTAAGACAAGGAGTGTGGACTACGAGGAACTGGAACCACCTTCTTGCTGAACCTTGCTTTGCCTGTGAGAGGAACCATGAGAAGAACTTTGAGACACAGGAAGGTGGCATAAAAGACGTATGCCGCGAGGATCGGATCGTCGTGAGACGGAATATGCAGCCCCATGATATACTTCGGACGAAATCAGGCGAAGCGAGGAAGTGGGGAATCAGCTGAATGAAGCAAGCAGAGGGATCACACCGTTGAAGCCGGCGACGAGCTGCGAGTAGAGATGAGTCCTGTGTATGGACCTCGCTCTTGACTATTCCTTTCCTTCCTTCTATCGCTCTCGCTCCCCCGCTCTCTCTCTCTCTCTCTCTCTCTCCCCCTCGCTTTCTATCTACTGCGAGCCGAGCACGTAAGTTCAACGTAAACGGCCTCAAGGTCGTCAGACGCTCCCCATAACAAGCAAGCCGGCTCAGCCAAGGTCGCTCTCACTCGAGAAGTCAAGAAGCCCCTCTCCCCCCACCTCAAGTCAATCGGGAATTTCCCATTAAAGTTATCTTCTTTTTCCATCCTCCCCATCCTTTCAGGTCAAGACTTGCAAAGCGGAGCTAGTGACGACCGCTCAATGCGACGGCCAGTGGAGGAATGAAACGCGGGGATAGGATCGCCTCCTTCGGACCGCAAGCATGCCTTCCTCTCCAGTCGTGTCAAGTTTCGGCTCGCGGGTAGTCGGCGCTCTTGGCGTCTCTCTCCGACGGTTGGCCTGTCGGCTTTGCCCCTGCACATTCTCGGGCCTCTGGTTAAATATGACCTTCGATTGAGCGATCGATCCAAATAGGCTTATGTTTCCTTTCAAGATTCAGATATTAAGACTAATGAGGATGGATTTTAAGCTCAGTATAATGAGTACTTGCACGAACAAAAGTTTAGAGAAAATGAACCACCTTATTGTTATATCTGCTACACTCCCTTTTCCTGGAATGTTATTATCAATCCTCTTACTTCAGGTTTTCTTAATTATTATTTCCAGTTTTGGTATGGCTCGGTCATATAGGGCAGGGATGTGCAACCCGCGGGCCGCATGTGTGTGACCTGCTTCTTGCAGGTCAACGGACCTGCAATGGTAATTCATAATGGGATAACAGCTAAGTTTATTTGCGGTCGAAGGCCCATCACATCTTTGGTCATCCCTTAGAACCAAGAGATAGACTGAGTCTTTTCACTTCCTTCTAATTTTTCCTACATACTGTATGTCCCAAGGAAGAAGGTTCTCAATGCCAAAGGCTATTTTTGGACTTTGGAATTTCCTAGAGGTGGGGAGAAGGTAAGGATCATCGGCCAATCAACGCGACCATATGCCCTCAGGACAAAAGAGGGGAGCCTTTTCCTTTGCATATTGTGGCCCGCGTCAAGAGTCACACATTTCCATGCGGCCCACTGCCGATGAAGGTTGCACACATTCCTGAGGCATATGGGGTAAGGGGGGGATATTGGCATCTGTTGTTTCCTCACATCGCTCCTGTTTAGATACACAAACGAAAAATCTTTTTTTTGCCAATGTTGCCATTTTTTGGTATTCGCGATGAAGAGATCATGAGTAGCATAGGAAAGCTAGAGGCTGGAAAGGCAATCGTCCCGATGGGATTCTGGCTAGTGTCATCAAGTAACCTGGAAGGAGATGGGGGGGGGGGGGGGATCGATTGCTTCTATTGTAAGTGACGATTCCATTGAAATTCATCTTCGAGAAAAGCATTCGTCGCGGTGGAAGTGCCGATGGATTGGAAAGTGGCGAACGTCGTGCCAATCTTTAACCCTTACTCGTGTGGCTTTTGCCCCCATTCATATTCGCGAGGGGGAATACATTTCTGAGTGATCTTGGAGAACTGAGAATTAAATGAAATCATTGCATATTTGTTGTTTATTTTTTTTCTGCTGTGTGTAAGTCTTATACGAGAGACTCTGGCATATTAATAATATTCAAAAGGTACTGAAGCTATCAAGATCAACGAAGACAAAACATGCTCATGAAACACTCGTTAATGGCGGGGTTGAAAATAAAATGCTTCGCCCAACTACTGCAGAGCAGAAAGGGATAAAAGAACGATCCGGGAAACTTCAGGCCAATGAGTCTCATTAGCATCCCTGGAAAGCATGGAATGCATTCTGAGGGTAAAAATGTAGAAGTATAAGGATTCAAAACTGTCCCGAATGATTTCGCAAGTGCCTCACTGCTTGATTCTCCTTTGTGTACATTTTTAACCGCCAACTGATGCATAAACGGCAAGTTGTCAATGATGTTTACATTTAACATGGAGAGGTATCAACTTGTGCACTGGAGCAACGAGACGCGTGTCTTTTTCTCAGGGAATTCCAAGGAGCAATTCACTCTGAGCGTCTCTCCTGGGTTGGGGGTCGTTGCATCACGAAATTCGATGTCACATTCAAGTTGCAGCTATGTGTGTAGAGAAAATGTCATTCCTTCCTTTCAGGGAATATTGGAGCGAGAAGACACATTTTAAGAGCAAGGATTCAGGGGTGGGAGGGAATGAAAGAGTCCTGATTGCTTACACATATATTTAGGATTCCCTCACATTTTGCATTCCCGAGTTGAATCCAGCTGTTATCAAGGAAGGGAGAATAATAAAACAAAAGGAAACACTTGAAGGACGTGGGATTCTGCATTTTAGCAGCACGTGGCACAGAAGACCTTGAAAATCATGAAGACTGTGGAGAAAAGCGCGACGAAGAAAGATATGTCTCGGGCTGGTTGCATGGGAACGATGACGTAGACGAAGGTATGGATGACCCGACTGATGGTGAAGATCCGGAATACCCAGGTGGCCACGAACAGCGATGGCTGGGTCAGCACGTAAAAGCCGGCCACGAATACGAAGATCGGAATGTTCTCCAGATCGTTCAGATGTGCCCTAGAGGAGGGAGAGAGAAGAGGACAGAGAAGTGAGCTGACACTCCCAGAAAATAGTTTCAAACACATTGGACTTCCCGCATAATGGTCATTCTATTGACACGAGCGTTAACTCGGATCTCTTTTTCTGTGCCCAGATTCGGGGGATTTCATTAGTCCACGTCTGATTTCGGATTGGTAGGGCTTCAGAGACAATGCAATACGCGAAATAACTTGCTCATCAGTTCCCACATATCCTGAGTAGCCTCCGAATTATGGCTTCAGCCGGTCGTGGCATGGCTTCACCCGGCTTCAGCTCCTATTTTTCTATATTACCTCTGGGATGTAAAAAGTGATGCCAAACAATCCTGTGCTAGTCTCAGGGAAAAAGCAGACATCTCTGATTCAGAATCCTTTTTTTTTTTTGGCCCGATCCCCGGGTCGGGTCGAGCCGGTTTAATGTAACATGCAGTCTTTGGTCCGGGAGGACCATCTATCTAATATATGATATATGGACAAGTGTGAGTGAGTAAATGAATGACGCTAATTCTAACCATGTTTTACATATGATTTTTAGCAGAGTTCCCATTAAACCATTCACTTGCGAATCGCGTGAATCGTTTTTCTGAAAGGATTTAGTAGCTCCTTCAAGTAGGGTTTGCATACTGCACATTTTTTCCTTTTATAGGTGGCCTTTCCCCCCCCCCCCCCCAAAAAAAAATAATATATATATATATATATATATTGTCGCTGCAGCGAAACGGGCCAATTAATAATGTTAAAATTTGGCATAAAAGTAGTTCTTGGAGTGTTGATTTTAGCGGAAAATCGCCTAAGCTGCACTCTTTCAGGTGGGACCTTCTCCATTAAATTGTTTCACTCCATCGAAAGAGGTGTAGGATGTAGATAGCTGTTGATTCCAGGGAAAATCCTATATTTGGGGTACCGCACCATAAGGGCCCCTTTTTTGAGGGGGGGTTCATGTTATTTCATGTTAGTTCATGATATTTTTTACTCGAACAAAACGGGTCTCTTCGCTCTCGTAAAGAAACGGTGAATTCTCCTGTCTCCCAGCAGACCTGGGATCCTTCGATCATGACGGAGGCATAAAGCAACTAACTACATTTTTAGGACTCTATTGGATTACGGAAGGTATATGGAAGAGGGAGACTTTATTTCAAGAGGGGCATATATTCCGATATCTAGTTCGCGGAGACGAATAATTCACAATATTCGGTACGGAAGGAGGAATAGATTTTTGTATCTTCCGGGGGAGGGGTAGACAAGGGACCAAATGTCTCGTCGCGTCGGCCTGTTGTCTTAAGCAAAGTTTCACGCTACGGTTCTCAGGGGACCTGACGAGCCCCTGACGCATCGTCCCTTTTGCATTGGGATGTTCCCGATTCGAACGATGCATCTTATCTGAATTCGGCATTTTAAAAAATCTCTCCAGGATTTACATCAGTCGAAAAACCCTTTGTGAAATACGTCGACAATGTCATATATAATACATTGGTCCCGAAGAGGATGCCGAAATATCCCATGCCAATGGTTCGAATTTTCCGTAACATTTTTGCAATTAGGCATATATAAAATGCAAGTGTCTATCATTTATTAACACAGTTTGAGAACATTTGATATGTTCTCGCTTTTATGAATCCATGCCCTCTACGAATAATATTTATCTCTCAGGGGTGAAACAGCTCTCTTGACGAGATTATCTCTAATCTAATTGGTTTGTCAGGAAGTCACAGCCTCCTGGAGTCTAATTGTTCGTGAACTTGACCGAGAAAGTTTACTTTGGTCGAGTATTGCCCAAGGCTCCTCATAAAGGAGAGCCGGGATTGCTAGGACCCATTGACCTGATTCTCCGTTTTCCTTCCAGCCTCCACCTTCCTTATCGACTTTCGATTGGATGCATCCTTCGTGACCCCTTCTGGATCGATCAATGAGTCATGTGGCGCGAGCAACATCTGCCCTCTCTAGGGAACTGACCCTGGCCATTACAGGGGCTTTGGCGCAACTGGAATACAGTAGGGGGGCGGGGGCAAACAACGGCATTGTTTAGAGCTGAGAGAGTAAATTTTGGGGACGGTTTCTTCCGGGTTTGATGAATATCCCCAATTGTCCAGCAACTTCATGGTACACAAAAATGTATACCCACGCATCCGTGCAGTATGCAAACCCTACTTGAAGGAGCTACTAAATCCTTTCAGAAAAACGATTCACGCGATTCGCAAGTGAATGGTTTAATGGGAACTCTGCTAAAAATCATATATAAAACTTTAATCAGATCCCGTTCCTGCCAATAGTGGGTATACTGGATTCCCCCATTCCCCAACTACGTGACGTGACGTTGACAGAGTGACGTGGCACTATGCCAAACGCGCTCATTTTAGTTCCTAAGAATCGGGTATTGATTTCCTTTCCGCTCTTCCTAGCCGGCTGTCCTCTTCCGATTCAGCGAAACGATGGAATCTGGAATAGGGTTCATCACGGACCCAATACTAGTGTATATTGAAGTCAGAGCTAGCACTGATGGGTAGAGGTGGCTACGGGTGGCCACCTCTTGGGCACTCTTTGCATTATTCACGACCGGCGCCTCGTGTCGGCCGTCTCGGGAAGCTGTTCATTTAGCGACGCCACCTGCATGGGTAGTTAGTGTTAGTCTGCACTCCAAGAAATACTTTATTTGCTGTCGAGTTAAGCCGAGCTACTCGGCCGAAAAAGTAGTTGGCAGTTTAGCTTAACTAATGACGTGGAACTTAGGTTATTGCCGGTTGAGTTGGACTATGGGATCCATCCACATACCTTCTCACTCTCTCCACATCGGGATCGTCTAACTTCACTTTGCCTCCAAATTTCACATCCTCGGGATTCGCGAACGCCTGTTAACACAAAATAACGCAAACCTTCGTACCACGTTCTACAGAGAACAGATCGGTAAGACAAGGAGTGTAAAAGACTACGAGGAACTGGAACTACCTTCTTGCTGAACCTTGCTTTGCCTGTGAGAGGACCCATGAGAAGAACTTTGAGACACAGGACGGTGGCATAAAAGACGTATGCCGCGAGGATCGGATCGTCGTGAGACGGAATATGCAGCCCCATGTTATACTTCGGACGAAATCAGGCGAAGCGAGGAAGTGGGGAATCAGCTGAATGAAGCAAGCAGAGGGATCACACCGTTGAAGCCGGCGACGAACTGTGAGTAGAGGTGAGTCCTGTGTATGGACCTCGTCCTTCACTATTCTTTATATCCTTTCCTTCTATGTGACACTCGCTCTGGCTCCCCTCTTCTCTCTCTCTCTCTCTCCTTCTGCCCCTCGCTCTCTACCACGAGCCGGGAGCACGTAAGTTCAACATTAACAGACTTCAAGGTCGTCTAGACGCTCAGCATGACAAGTGGCCCCGGCACTGCCAAGGTCGCTCTCGCTTGCGGTCCCAGTCCTGTCTGTCGCATCGGTCTGATATAAAAATAAAATACATTTCATAGAATGGAATCAAGCGACCCAGAGACACGACGCCTCACAGACTTCGAAGATGCCTCTCTCCCGCATTCTTCCACGTCCGTCGAAGGGACGGGGCATGGCCACAATTCAGACGGAAACGATTGCGATCAGGGCAAGGAATTCCTCCTCGTCTCGACGAGGCGGAATTCTTCTTCGCCAACCGCCTCATCGCGATGGCTTCCCTTGTGGTACAGAGAAAAACCGAGCGCTCACAGCCTACTTGGTAGACGGAGTACGGCAGAGGGCGAATGTTATCATTCATTCAGTAGCAAATTCCTCAAATACTCTCGTTTACATTGGGAAACCGTGCTATTCCGAGCAACACTAGAATCTTTTGCTCCTTACTTGGATCCGCTTGTTATTCTCAGAAACGTAAATCCAGAGTACGTGCAAGATTTTTCCAAATCTAGGTCTATGGAGTCCAAAATTTTCGGTGCGTTGATTCTGGAACCCTGGATTTGACATAGAAACCACCTTTAAAATCCAGAATTTACTTTTTAGATGCGTCTATTGCAAACAAAGGGGGGGGGGGAGGGGGGGGAAGGAGAGGGGTGTATTTTCCAGAGTTCTGATTCGATTTGACTCCTGAACGCCCTCGCCTTTTGTCTGCCAACCACCTTTGTAAGAATGAAGCCCAAATGAAACATTAATCTAATCATTTAGAGTAGATCAAGAATCCGGATTGACTCCTTTGGTAACCGAACGAAGACGCGCCCTAACACAATCTTCTACATTTTCCATCAAAGTCAAAGCGAATCGAGCACGTTCCTCTATCAGAAACCTCTAATAGCACGAAACACCATTTTTCTTTCCCTTTTCCCTCAGCAACATCAAGTGGATCTATGATAGGACCGCGAGAGCCAATCTTCGACGTGCCGAAGAACTTCGCGGCGAAGAACTGAATCGACGCGCTCAAGAGCAATTGGCAATCCCTTTCTGGGAAGACGCAAGTGAATGTGTCGCTCAAGATCGCGAGTTCTTGCGGTGACGCATCCGGGATTTCCTCTTCCCATCTGCGTTGGTTGTCATGGGATAAAAAAAAAATGCAGATAAAAAAATAATGACATTGAATGGGACTTGGTTGCGCCTGGGCGTTCAAAGATTCGCTGACGAAGCAGAAAGAACAGATCAAATGCAGCATCCCAAAGATGCAGATGCGCCGCCATACCGAAGCATCTTAATAATCGTCTTTTGCAATGGCATGTCGATTCCAAATAGAGCACTTGATAGAAAAGACATAAAAAAGAAAAAAAAAATTAGTTCACAACTAGATCAATAGAGAAATCCACCACCGGCACGGACCATCGCGGCGGCGCCGCGGGGGGGCGGAGCCTCAATTTCCTCGGACGGGAAACGGCGGAAGCCTGGCGCCGGGGAGACGCAGTGGGCCCCCCCCCCACCCCCCACCCCCCCACCCCCCCACCCCATGCCGCCGAGCGATCCGGAGGCGACCGGGGACGCGACGCCGAGTCCCCCCCGGGAACGGAGTGATGGAGCTGTCAGTTCGGGTGTCGTCTTTTGGGTGGTGGGGAGGCAGACATCCGGGATTGCCGGATCTTCTCGACGCCTTCGTTAATCGCCATGATGTTGTTATTAAGATCCGATGGGATTCTCATAGAAATCCTATAAGAATCCTATTATACTTTTTTTTTTGTTTCAAAATTCTTATCGGATCCTTTAGGATTTTTTTTTCGTACGGGTTTTAACTCTCGGATTACTCTGTCGACCTGCTCGCTTCGACAAGATAGAGAGAAGACCGGCACTACTTCGATAATTGTGGACACGGAACCAGGAACTTGAAACATGAAGGGACTGTTTTTATTCTAATTTTATTCGCTTGTCAGAAGTCGGAAGGAAGAAGAGGCAGACCCTGCGTCGAAGAAGGAGCTCTAGATTCCCGATGCCGAGGCTCTCGGCGACGCTTCGTCGACGTCGTTCGCGGAATCTGCCGGAGACCGATGAGACGCGAGCGCAGGATTCGACGCTGCAATTTGTCTTGCAGCGTGAATTCGGATGAAACGAAACCGAGAACGCGGGAAAGGGGGAACGGGAAGAGCCGCGATCCCTCGACGGACCCGCGATTGAACCATTCGAACCGGTGAAACGCCCTTTGGGTGAAGACTTCTCGACCTATCGATGCCAAGCATCCCAAGAATTTAAAGGGTTTTCCCACCTCGGCGTGTTCGACGCCGCCTGTCAGATCGGGACGCGCGTGGGATTTCCGAGATTCGGTCGTTTCTCCTTTTCCGCCGAAAGAACACACGGGGAAGAGGAACCGGAAAGCGAGGGAACGATGCACGCTTGCTCCTCCTCGCGACACCCACACGGGCAGCGTTAGCCATCCGACGTACATCCGCAGTACATCCTGAGGACGCACTCGAGACGTAGGCCGTACGTCTGACTCCGCCCGGGCACCCATCCACCCTTTAATTTACTCTTCCATCCGCTCTTTCATCCGCTCTTTCATCCGCTCTTCCATCCGCTCTTCCATCCGCTCTTCCATTCACTCTTCAATCTACTCTTCCATCCGCTCTTCGCGCCTTCCTCCAGTCCAGCGCGAGGCGGAAAGCGACACCAGGGCAGTGCGGTGTCGCCTGTCACTCGCAATCCGATTCCCTCGGGTCGACATTCTGGAGTGGGCTCCTTCTGCGTCTCGGAGCGTCGACCCTCTCGCTTCTCGTCGAGGAATCGTGTCGACCTAGAGTATCGGTGCAACGAGGACGGTCGAGGAATGGAGGCGGAGACGAGGAATTCGATAAAATTCCACGACGACCGGAATTTTTTGGGGTGAGAGACTAGAAGTTTTTTTTTTCTAAGTTAACATCATGGTATCAACATCCAAAGTTATTTTTTTTCATCCAGAGTATCAACTTTTTTTTTTTTTTTTTTTGGGGGGGGGGGGGG